CTGCAGGTGGGGAGGGGGCTGCAGAGAGCTAGGCCCGGGAGGAGAGTGAGGGCAGAGCGGAGCCACGCGCTGAGTGACCAGGGGAAGCAGCTCCGGTCCAAGCCCTGTCTCAGAAAGCGGCGCTTCTCCTTGGCGCCCCCGCCCCGCCCAGACCCACCCAGAGCAAGTGACCGGAGGGTGCCCCTCGAGGTGCCCAGCTCTCCCACAGGCCGGGCCGTCCTGGTCCCCTGGTGCTCTGCCCGGGCATTTGCAAGGCCAGGCCGCAGTCCAGGAAGCAAAGGCTAGGACATCTGCTGAGGCCCAGGGGGTCTCCACCCTGGGCTCGGACCCCTGGGGCTGTGGTACCACAGGGCATGGCAGGGGCCCCTGCGGCTGGCCAGAGCTGGTGCCAGTCCCGCCCGCACCCCCAGACTGTGCGCCCACATCACCGAACCACTGCCCTTGTTTAAAATGGGGGGGGGGGGGCCATAGGGCTGCTGAGAGGACCCGAGACAGGCACACTGAGACTTCACGCAGCCACACAGCCCTGCTTTCAGCAGAGGTGACCGCATCTGGCAGGCCACAGCAGCCTGCCCGCCCCCGCCACCTTGCAGGGAAGAAGGGGAGCCCCCGGAAGCCACCCTTCCCATGGAAAGGCCTCGTGGTAACTGGCTGAGCTCAGGGGCGCTTGGGGGGGGGCATGGCAGGGACCACCCGCCTCCTCAGCCCACTTAGCGGCCCGTTGCCCCTCCGTCCCAGCGAGAAACTGGACGGAAGAGAGACCCAGGGGGGTTCCTGGACAGGCCGCCAGCAGGGGCAGGCCTCGCACATCCCAGCTGTCCTCCGAGGACCAGGCAGCTGCAGGCTGGGGCGTGGAAATGCTTAGAGCCAGGCCCAGGTGGGGCAGGGAGGGCAGCGCGCAGGAGAGGGGCCGGAACGATGGGGCACACGAGTCAGGGAGGCCTCAGGTGGCAGAGAAATCGTGCCCCCGCCCCCCAGCCCTCTGCACTTCTCACCCCCAGGGAACCACAAGGCGGCAGAGCTCCTCGGTTTATTGGCAATTATTTATACAACATACAAGCGATCGCTGTCCAGTTCCAACGCACTGGGCCCCGCAGGGCCCGTTAGTGATTCCACTTTGTAAATAGCTTATGAGAAGCAAGCACGACGGGCAAGGGCCCCGTCGCGAAGCGAGCCTCTTGCCGCGCACCCGCTGCTGCACGCGCACCCGCTGAGCCAGGCACCAGAAGGTCGTCTCCCGCGGGCCCAGCCGCCGGGTGCCGTGACGTGGACGTTTCAAGGCACATAGGACTCCCCCTCCCCCCGTAGCAGCTCCAGGCTCTGCCTGGGGACCTGGCTCACTCCCACCCACCAGCCCGTGCTGTGTGCTCACACCCCGAGGTCTGTGCTGGGGCCACGCTGGCTGGGAGGCAGGTCCTTGCCCTTTACATTCGGAGGATTGAGACTCTGACGTGCGAGGTGTCCTAGCACCACGGGGAGGCGCTGTCAGGCGTCTTTTGATGTCTCTCGGAGAGTGTGGGGTGGGGAATTCCATGGGGAGCCAGGAGGGGCGGAGGGCGGGGTGGTTCGAAGGAGACTCAAGGCACTGAGGGGTGGACAGCTGGGCGGGTCTTGGGCAAGGTCCACCAGGAGAGGGTGGCTGGGGAGGCACCTGGCCCCACTCCTAACTGAGCCCCCCACGGGGCCATGGCCTCCTGGGTCAGAGCTGCTCCCTCCTGTCCAGCCGGAGGGCCCGAGGTACCCCCAGGATCCCCGACCAGCGCAGGCGAGGTCTGGGCCCACCCTCACGATCCCGTCTTCCCACGCGCTGCTCAGCTGCTGTCCCTCAGGCCGCACACAGCGCGAGTTTATCCGACACCAGCCCGTCAGAGCCCAGTTATGGCTTTTTGACTTAAAATCATGAAGGGTGTTTCCTGTTCTCCCCGCGACCCAACCCTGACGTATGTGGGGCGGGCCATCCTCGAATGGACCAGAGAGACACAGAGCCACACCCCTGGGTGCGGGCACCACGTGGACTATGCCAACCCGGGGCGGGGTGAGCAGGGACCGAGACCAGCTGTCCCGAGCCGTCGCACTGTTCAGAGTGGGAGGCAGACACAGCAGACCGTCGCGGGTGCACAGCGGCTCCTGCAGACGCCACGGGGAGGCGTGGACTCCCCACCTGGCAGCGCTGTGACCGCCCGTGCCTCTCTGGGGCCTGCAGGCCCCCACGTCCACGGGGTGAGCCAACTCCACTTCCAATCTAACCTCGAATCTCAGCAGAGGGGGGGCCAACGGTGCAGTTCAGGCGGAAGGAGGGGAGCGCCGAGGCCAGGGCCCTAATACCCAGGCCAGGCAGGACCCTGAGGCGGCGGGAACCCGTAGGGAGGGGCCGGCCCGTGGGGGTA